AAAAATATGATTCAACACTCTATGATAGTAATCGTAATATTTTTCATGGCGTTCAAACGTTGCTCCAAAATGTTGAACCGGACCTCATTCCCTATTTTTGCAAATATGAACAAGGCTGCTCTAGGAAGTAGGAGGTTCAGGTGTTTGATTCCTTCCATACATCAAACGATGTGCACCTCTTGAATAAAGATCAATGTATCTGGGAAATTGTCTCTAACTCAATTCTTCGAAGTTATATAGGGTGAATGAAAACCAAGAAGACCACCAGGTATACAGAATTGGATTTCAGAAGAGAAAAACTCTATTACGAGAGTGATGGTCACAAAGAACATACGAACAGTGCCTTCTTGAAGTACTGAATGAAATTATTTTCAGGCACTATCCATGTCTGATGAATAAGTTTAAGCTGGTAGACTCATTCCATGAATTCGTTATGATCACACGAGAAAATCGTATATTCATGATAATCCACTTTCGGTAATGACGTTCGTGAAGATATTCCGAATAGAACACCCTATTTATCATTTGGTTCTTCAAATCCCTATGAGCAGCTGAATTCTGATTGTATTGATTGAAGGTGAAAGAATGCTTTCATGGATATGTTGAATAACTCTCCGTGAAAATCCATCCTCCAGGATAACTCCGCTATTTTCTTCTTTTGTCTTTCATTGTCTTTCATTTTCATTGAACATGAAGTTGATCGATTGTTTCATACTCATATTTGCTTTCTTAAAATGCTTTGTCAGACCCAACATGGATTTGGTATCGCCAACGGATTCATTGGTTCGGGAGTTTTTCGTCAACCCACTTCACTGGGAAGAAAAATCAGTCATCAATACTTCCGTTTGTCTAAACATCATTCTGCATCACTTCTTGTTCAAGGCGAAGCCTTTCAGCGTCACTTTTGCTCGTAACTTACATCTTACAGGTTTCGTGAAGTTCTTTTTGATAACTGGCATCTGAAACACCAGATATCATCCCTACGACTTCACTACTTCAAGGGGCCACAACAATCAACAAACAGCAGTCTAAACAGTGGTGGCAACTGGATCAGAGTTCTGAGGCGGAAAAAGTACGACTTTGGTTCTCATGGTTCAACATATAATGGCGGACTCTCGATGCACGCTGCACCGTTTTTTTGCGCAAGCAATACCGGATGACGCTTTGCGCAGCACACCACTGATCATTCACACATTCTTGCAATCACACAGATCAAACCATCGAATTCTTCATTGTCAATTTCATCGCATATTGCCTTCGAAACGTTTTTCTCCTGCGAGGTACTTCGATCTGCCAGACGTGTATATACGTGTCGTTACATCAAATTATTGTTCATTGGAGGTTACTTCAACCACCAACCAGTGGATATTGCACCCCGTCAAGCATGCAGCAGAAGCAGCAAGAACCATCTGCAACCAAAGTGAACAACTTGTTAAACCAGTTCAAGATATGTAACATGTGTAATTCTAGGAGCTGTCATTCTCCTACACTTCAACTTATTGGAACTCAAAAATATCGAGTTAAATAAATTTTACTTCAACAACCTAATCTGAGAGTCCTTATGTGATGAGTGTTAGAGAAGAATCTGCAAAAAATTCAACCCATTCATTTTGACGATATCTCTCTCATTATTGCTATTCTCGATCTCCTTATGAGTCCCTCGGTGGTTATACGAATCATCTTCAATGGGACCCTCGCTACATAAATTTATAATCAGAGAAATTCGTTCCAACATTTCCTGATCCTGTTTCAAGTGGCCACTTGATAAAAATCAATGACTAGTCAATAGTGATCGTTGAAAGTTATCCAACAGGAAAAGAAATGAGAAGAATCAATACAGTGTTCATCAAGGAGATCAGGCAAATGTAGTGACATCCATTGATGGTGTACTAGGAGTCATTTCGATGTGTGAAGAACATCATTTTCATATGGATATCATATCAGGTATTATCTGATTTGATAGTGATTTCATGTTGATAGGTTCCTCTGCAGGACTGACAGTTTCCAAAGAGATTTGTTTCTCAATATAGAAAGGAGAGTGATCGTCGGTTCTCAATCAGTGTAACGGTTCAGTAATAGAGCTGATGATATCTACACCAATTTGTATTTTATGTTCATAGATATGATGATATAGTGATATAGTAAACTCTTCCTGAGGAAATCTTCATGATATACACAAAATCAGCATATCAGGAGTTATTGATATTCATGATATTTTCACAAGCTATTCGTTGAATAGGAAAAAATTGTGGAAATAGGTAACAGAGTGAGTGAAGAAAAAATCGTATCGTGTGGTGTGCCTCAGAGGACGGTCTTAGGACCAATATTATTCAACATTTACCTCAACAATCTTTATCTCTTTAACACTCACTCCAAAATTATCAGCTATGCTGATGACACGGTCTTGATCTGCAAACATGATGACTGGTTTAACCTGAAACTGAGATTAGAACAGGATTCGAGTCAGATAAAGATGTGGTTCGATTGAAGAATATTATCAATGAACTTTGAAAAATCATTCTACTTACCATTCAGTTGCTACGATATAGCCCTGCCTACATACGAAATTTCTCTCTCCGATATGGCTGTCATAAGGAATGTCAAAAGAATTAAGTACCTAGGTGTAATCCTACATAGTCATCTCAGATGGGACCATCACATCAATCTCCTGATGAAAAAATTACGATGCATTTTATATAAATTCGAAACCATAACCAGTATCCTCAATTTTGAACAAAAAATGATGATATACAAAAGTTTAGTTGAATCACATCTCAATTATGGCATCATTGGATGGGGTGGAGTCTCCAAAACCCATCTGCATTCCCTTGAGGTAATGCGAAAACGTTTTCTCAGATGTATTTTACTAAGGGACTATGCCTAACCAAGCGACGTCCTTCACGAAGAATCCGGGATATTCGATCCAAGACAGTTATTCTTCATTAGTATAACCACAACCCAATATAAGCACAGAAATGAATTGATCATTTGGAATCATAAATATAACACACGATACAAAAAAACTATCGTGACACCAGTCATGCACAAATCGGTAGGTCAAAGAAATTATCGATACTTAGGCCCAAAACTCTTCAGCTCATTACCGACAAACCTGAAATGTGAGACAAATTCAAGAATGTTCAAAAAAAATCTCAGAGAATATATGAAACTTATACCCCGTGCAGTAATAACTGAAAAAATAGAGCATTGACTTAATATTTTCAAGCTTCATTGTAGTACATTATGTGAATATGTCTTAATTCAACAGTAAACGTTTCCTTATACAAACAATTCAATCCTATATGTGATCAACATGAATACTATATTTTTATTACTGTCTTTCATTACGCCATGTTATTGTTCAATCTTACTGATCTCACGATTTGTGAGTTCCTTATATCATATATATATGTAACTATCAAATTAACTACTTTATGAAGTTATTCCTTAATTTGAGTCCGCTGTACTTCGTCCCTACTTTATATGTACATCTCAACTACTTGTAATCGTGACCATACAAATAATTTTCAACCTATTTCAACCTATTGTAAACCGTTTATATATTAGCTTTATGGCTTTCCTTACACACAAGCAATTTCACTGCTCCGTAAGTTTCTTGTTTAAATTTATTCACCATATGTTTTGCTTCAATGAATTTGTTTTTGATTACATTGATCAGAAAGTGAATGAAATTATTATTATTATTATTATATATATATGTATGTACCTACAAACAAGTATTTTATATACTTCGTAGGATGATCCATGGATCATTATTTGTTTATTTCATCAATAAATCATTATTATGTCATGCATAAGGGCATAAGAGGAACTCTATGAGCCCACGGCTATAGCTGCATTGGTGAACCAAGGTCAGCTGATATGTAACAACAATCTTCCGCCTAACAAACACATAAAGAAAAGGGAAGTGCAACAATAATCGTTCTCTTGATTCCAACCTCTGATTTATACTGACGTTTAATGAAAATCCATGTAACATGTCAATATACGCATCACACAAGTGAAAGTCAATGGTGTCTAGATAGTGGAATACCACATAATCATGTTGTTATAGGTTCAACAGCCAAAGTTACAATGAACATCACTTTCTGTCAAATTTTCTGGGTCGATATTATTCATTATCATAATAATTTTATGATGGACAAAAATTATGAGATGGTCGAATATTCAGTACAACATATGCTTGTTGACTTGAATGATGAAAAGTGACTGATGATGAAACATTTCAAATTATAAAGACAACTCCTGGTATTAACAGTTCTCTACAAACTCTCCAACGCTTCATGAATCGTATGTTGAGTGATCCTGAAGAACAATGCAATCTGAATGATCCTGAAAGACAATCAGTGCATGTCGATAAGAATATCAAAATTTTTTTCATAATCGGCCAGAGACTATAATCTACGATGAGGTGAAAGAAGCCGTTGAGTTCTTTGTAGAAAAATAGATTCAATATATCATGGAAAGATATTCCTGCTTTTGATGTAATAGTATATTTGAATTTTTCCATTTGTGGGAAAGTTCATTTCAATTGGCGATAGAAAAATTGATGGAAAATAAAAGTTTTGCACACATTGAACCAAAAAAGGCACTCCTGGTGATGAAAGAGGATAAACGCCTCCTCATTCACAATACATTTCATTCACGATGAAAAAGAAACGTGATTATTGTTGTTCTCTTGCCATACATCGTGATGAGGATGACGACAATAAGGAAATGGTACCGCTATGGTTAGAGACGACCTATAAAAACTACGCTCTCGGAGGCGTATTGTTCCATGTCTAGTCCATCCAGCGGAAAGTCCACTTCGACACTCAGCTTGCCGTAGGGAATTGTTATCGATGCAGAACGTTCCGAATGTAAGAATAGAATTTTTGGAAATTTCCGGATCGAGGTTGATTTCGTGAATTCTTTTCTTTCATTGCACATCACAAGCAGGTGCGTTCAATGTCGCGTCTAAAATTCCTTTCTCGATGAATTCATCGGGGCACTGGGAGACTAAGTGATCCTGTCAGTTGTGGAATGTAGAGCGATAAGTCCCAAAAGGGGTTGAACGGAACTGCGCAGTAGGTGCACTTCGTGCAACGCAGCATCATCTTCAGATATCCGACGAAGTGGTCGACTAGCTCGGAGTTTTTCGTTTGTAAGTACTCTGACCATAATACAGATGCCTTGATGTTGGCGCTCGTTTTGTGATCGATCACCACAACTCTTGACTCCAGCTTGTCGATCACCCTGTTGACGTCCTCAGGCAGACATTGGATATAGAAGCGCAGGAATTCTTGCGCGTTCTGATGTGAAGAACCGATGAATCTTAGTGCGGAACGCATTGTCGAAACTTGGTTCCGACGTTTTTTCTGGCAATATCCTTTTGATCACCGTCAGGAATGCTCCAATCAAAGACAACTTAATGCTGCATGTGGCAGTGTTGATGTCTTCGACACAGATGCTTCTCAGTAGGTATATCAGAAGCTATTTGGTTTGTGATATGCAATGAATTATATAGTTTATGAAATGAGTATCTCTTCTGTCCTTCAAGAAAATGAGGCCTAGCATCTTCACGATGGTTTCACGCAAGCTTTCGAAATTCGTTCGCCATCCCTGTCGACATCTTAATAATCATGGTCGTCCAAGTCCAGGAAATTCAAGGAACAAGTATTTCTTCCGTCCTTCAAGCAAACGAAGCCCAGCAGGTTCCACAGAAATTTTCGAGATTCGTTTGATATCCCTGTCAATATCTGGATAATTATGATCGTACAAGTCCAGAAAATTGCCAAATGGAGCTTTGACATTTATAGGAATAAAACAAAAATTCATCGAACGAACGAGAACTGAGACAGCATTTCTCCGTTGAATTGCAATGCTCATTCGTTCAATGAGAAATGTGGTCGCTCTTGGTTCTTTTGTTTCTACCTCTAGCCTCACACCAATTTGTGAAACAAAATCTAGAGATTGTGATGCAAGAACGCCAGCTGTTTCAGCTACTACTGGATTGAAGGAATAACTATCGGCCAATGTGTTATATCCACTTCGTTTCATCTTTCCGCTGAGGAGGCGTTACGGTATCAGCGCGAGTGAAATCCCACACTTCAAATTTTTGAGTACTCTGAGGGCTCAGATTCATGTCATCAGGGCGTTCGCCATTATCTCTACTCATTCCTGTTAGCTTTCAGATTGCTGAAATACCAGCGGAGATCAAAGCTTTTTTTTTCAGCACATCATACCCTCTATGATGTCTAGCCAAACGTCCAACACTATTTTCACAACTCAAATCATAGATTTTGTTAGCTTCTACATCACCAACACCACCTATGCTTTTACGAAGAGCACAGCTCCCGATTCCTCCACAAAAACAGCATTCATTGCTCCTGGCCTTGTCAATAACTGATGATACTGAATCAATAATTTTTGACAAAGCGATATTAGGCAATGGAGAGTCTAGAGATTTCTGAAAAAAGAAACCTTTCTTTTTCTTGTAGATTACAGTTAGTTTGAGCACACCAGAGTGATCAGGCTTCAGCAAACGGGGAATCAGGAATGTTCGAGAATTGTGCTGGCCAGATAGCCTGATTCGATTCGAATTGAGTGATTATTCATCTATATCAGAAAAATGAATTGACTCACATCATTGAAAATTGAGTTCAATAAATATTTATTTTGACTTCTCCATAATGCTTCTGAAATTTCCCAAAATATAAACAACATTCCTGCGAATGTACCATCATATGGATACCAGCAGTTCAATTTACATAATATAGTTTCCACAAGATCCTGAATTGATGAACAAAATAGAGCAGGGCCCAGAGGATTGCCTTGTTGAATTCTTCTTCCTAATGATATAATATAGTTTCCAGAATTCAAAATACTCGACGAATTGTAGTACTGATTCAAAAACGGAAACAATCTCGAGAAGAAACTCAAAATATCCTGCAACAGAATTTTTTATCAATCATATCGAAAGCATACTTGTGATATTATCAAGAGAAACACTCTTATTTTGAGATCGAGGTGTTAGTTGATGAATGAGCAGGCTGAATGTGCAACTGCTTCACATCCTCTGGATGTACCGAATACAAATTGTAATGGAAGAGAGTGATTTCCAAAATATTCCTCCTCAGCCATGCAACAAGGTTGAGTCGTAAGCAACAATAGGAACTACCAACTGCTATTGAATATATTTTCTCATCTCGTTTTTTGACAGCACATAACGAAGCACCTTGAATAATAGGGCATATTTCCAGGAGGAAATTACCAATCAACATGATGTAACATAATGTCGTTGAAGAGTTCAATCATTCTTCCTGGGCAGATCCTGAACTGGGTCTGAGGAGATCATGGATATGATTTGGTCTCATAGGGTCGAAGCCGCCAGCAGATCCTGATCGGGAAGATTCCACTGATAATAACACATCGTTCTTGAATACTTGAAGAGGAAGGATGTCATCATTCATTATCAAAATTTTGATGTTGGTGAACTAATACATGGCTGTCGCTGTTGTTGTGAGCTGTCTGAGTTGATTCATCATTTGAAGCCAATTAGTCAGCGAATGGAAGGATTTTGATTGCAGAATCCACCTTCTGCAACTTTATCAATCACACGTTTCGATATGTCTGATGCCAAACGGTGATATTCTACAGAAATCAGTTCACTGACATTCTTTTCAATAGATGGATCTGATTCATGATTGATATTCTGCTTGATTACCTTCGTCAATGAGAATTTGGGGCCAACTTTCGCAGATAGAATAGCGAACACATTATATGCATTAAATTATATTGGATCCTATACCAATGTGAATTGGTCTATTGGATGAATACATATTCAATTCTATTCTATACAATTTCTCATTGCATCACTCGATACTGTCGCTGTTATAGGTTCAGCTGATCTCAGTATTGAATGGACTCTACGTTGAGAACTTTTCGGAGTTGATAGTACATTCACCAATGATGTAGAACATCCATTGCTCTTTCGAATAGACTGACATTTCTGCTGGCAGACTGGTATCGATTGGGCTGCATTCTTCTTTCTGGCGTGAACCTTCGAGCCATGTCCAGTTCTGAATGATTTTCTGTAATGTGAACAAGTGAATCCCATCGATGAGTTATAAAAATCCAATTCTGACAGTGACCTGACATAAAATCGATTTTATTTACAACCATATATGTAATGTTGTCATTATTAACGTCATTGAAATTTGGGAAGTATCAGATTACACACCTCTACTTCCTGCTCTCAATTCCCGCCCCTCACTTCTGCACGCCCTCACTTTCCGCCCATGCCGGCATCGGCATTGGATATGTTATCGATCTGTTTTTTTCGATTTCTCATAATTATCCACTCAAAAGATGACATTTAGAATGAGCATTTTTCAAAATGTCACTCTGCATATCGAGTAGAAGCTCGCATGTATTTCCAACTCACAATTCGAATGATAAGAGTAGTAAAGATTGGCCGGTTCTGGCTCTCCGCCCTAGGTCACCGTCCTCCGACCTTGGGCGGAGTGACCTTGGGCGGGAGTGACCTTGGGCGGGAGTGACCTTGAACGGGTCTGACCTTGGGCGGGAGTAACCCCGTATAGTGAAGTGTCGACAGCATGCCCTTGAACGCGGAGGTGACCTTGAGGGCGAGACAAAGTGACCTTGAAGGAAGGTTGTACGAGTAACCTTCGCATATGTGACCTTGGGAACGAGTGACCTTGAGTTGTAGAGAGAGAGAGAGAGAGAGAGACCTCGACCTTGGAGAGGGAGGTGAAAGCGTGTGCGACCTTGAAAATGGGAGTAGGCTGGTCGAGATCGTTTTGGTAGAAGTGGGGTGCTGTGTTACGTCACATATCCCAGTTCCTATAAATACATCATTGTATCGTCTGCGAGAGCATAGTTCTCCTAATAATACGGAAGATACGCACCACCAACTCGCACATAAAAAATATACCCGCTCAAATTGATTGGGAATATAAAGTGTTTGCAATAAAAGTGTACGTGAACTGTTAAATGTAAGTAAAAATTATTTATATACTTTTTACACCTCTTTTCACTCAACAAAGAAGAATTTATAATGGCAGCTCCTAAAATTGATTTGTTAACGATAAATAATCGAATTAACGAAGACAATGATATTATCAAGCAAACTGTTATCTCATCACTACTCTTGAATAAAAGCTATGTGGTCAAGAAAATATCACTATGTGGAACCAGGTTTGGTAGGAGCGGTTCTGTAATATTGTACGATGAAGAAACTGAGGCTAGTCTGAAATGTTGGTTGCCCAAAAGAGTTGTAGAGTTGCTGAGTGACAGCGACATTGATGAGATGAATTCTTCAAATGGTCTTTATACTCTAGCATATTTGGGCCAGAGTGAGCCATTATATGTAGGTGCAAAAACGAGGGCTCTCATCAAGTTTGACTTCAAGCAAAATTAATTCGGAATTATTCTACTTAATTATTTCTGATAGGTTTTTTTAGTATAGTTTAGTGAAAAGGGTTTAAAAATTATATGATAATTATTATTACATTAACACGAGCCACTAACGCAGATCGTACCGTTTGCGGTAAGTAATAAATTAGGTTCCAAAAAGAATTCAATGAAAGACAAATCTCCCAAATAATCTCATCATTACCAAACTTTTTTTTCATCATTTACAGACTCCTGTTCCCCAACATGTGGATGTATTATTCTAGTCAATTCTGGCCGGCAGCGGAAGACATCAAATCAGCAGTGAGCAGGTTGAAATGTCAGTTCTCTGATTTGTCACGTGATGCAATGCATGCGACAAATTATGATTTGAGCATATGCTTCGATCGAGAACAAGTTGAACGACTCTGTAAACAAGCCGAACAATATAGAAAGGGTTATATGTTATGCGCCCGGTTCGAATATGGTAGCTTCACTTTGGAGGAATTTCTTGAAGCAATGGTGGGAGAGGACTTGGACCAATTTCTGTATGAAATTTTTGATTTCCTACCAAACAGCCTGATACGGAAGTACAACTTGGGGGTAATTCCAGAATCATCCGACAACGAGGAGGAAGGAGAAGAAGAATCGAAATGATGATATTGCTAAGAGATGCTTCAATCATACTATTATCATTTGCATGTATATATATAAATTATGGAATGATGATGATGAGCTCGCATTTTTCATTGTCTATCAATCAAGAAATAAAAACGATGATTTGTAAAACATTTGTTTACTTTTATTCAATTTAGTGCAGATACATGTGTCGATAATAATAATAATAATAATAATAATAATCATGATGATAATAAATAATAATGAACATAATAATAATAATGAAAAAACTGATCTAATACAATTATAGGCTTCGAAT